GGGGACTCGGGCTAACTTCACTGGGCCTGGCACCGTTGCCCTTATTTTATCGCGTTTTTCACGTTTATTGTTACGGAAAGGATTTGCGTTTTGTGTCACTTATTTTCTTGGGGAGGGGGGGGATAGGGAGACTTGTTAAGGTAATGGTGTTTAATGTGGGATAATTGGTAATATGGAATATTATTATGTTTTGGGAAGTTAACCGTTTGCACTCGAGAGGTGTCTCTTAGTCGCCACTTAATTTGATACAGATATTAATAAATAAAATAATAAATACAAATATTTCTAATGAAAAACTTCCGAGTGCAAAGGGTTAATTGCTTGGTGCATGATCATAGTGATGGTTCGTCATATAACGTCACCCGCGGAACTCGAACGAACTCGAACCTTCAGTGGCGCGCATCCTGAAGATCCTGCTCCCGCCGCTAGGAGACTCGGGCTAACTTCACTGGGCCTGGCATCGTTGCCCTTATTTTCCTCGCGTTTTTCACAGGATTGTTAAGGTAATGGTGTCTAATATGGGACAATAATTTATCCGCTTCGGACTTAATAAATTAATCAAAAATAATTTCAAATATTTATAATTTCTTACTAATTTTAATTCAATTTATTACTAAGTAAACTGAATAAAGGATTGTTAAGGTAATGGTGTCTAATGTGGGACAATTAATAATGTGGAATATTATTATACTTTGGGAAATGAATTGTGTGGTATGGTGGTTGTTATAGGAACTTCATTAGTGATAGGAAGCAGTTCTATTAACACGTTCTGTGCCACGGAAATTTCGGTCATATTTTGCTCGTGAACTGTATTGATATTTTTAATAAAATATTAACTTATATTCAAGTTTTTGGTAACTTTTATATATTTTGATATCGTTAAAGATGTTTTCTTGTAGAAATTGGCGTGTACCATTTATGGTACACGTGTCACTGAACGTGTTAATGATTGGATATTAATTAATTAATTGATTAATTTAAAGTTTGTTATTGTATATGAAGCGTTTTTTGTGTTTGGTAGTGTGTATAATTTCTGATGGATGAAAAGTTGAATACTGAAAGTAATATGATATTATTTATCAGGATTACATGGTAATCGTTTGTACGTTGATTTTAGTGATGATGTTAATGCTATTCTCAACACCTACGTCATTATTGCTGAATTCAGTGTTGTTGCATCTAGCATTGTACAAGGAAATGTGATTCATGATATAGGTGTACCCATGTAAATACAGTCGGGAAATATTCTTTGATACCGTCTTTAGAGATAAGCTGTGAAACTGTGCACGCCATTTTTTTCTAAGTAAACACGAAAATCTTGACAAACAGCGACGCAATTGAAATTATAATCAGTAACGCCACACCAACCGAGGAAGATAAAATTTAATATTAATCATTACGTTATGCGATACTACAGTATATAAACACATATTTGAAAGTATTCTCATCGATGATACTTAATCGTGAACGTAATCACGTTGAAGGTTATGAAAGAATCGCAAATTATATTAAATTACTTTAAATAAAATGCATTAACAGTAACCTAACTGAGGACCGATGAAACGGCCGGATTTCAAATTCTGCGTTTTCCTTTGTTCATTGAAGTTTATAGCAGCTCCTGTATTGTCTGATTAATTGGTTTCTGAATTTTCATTCTTTCTTTTGTTGCTGTTTCCACTAAAAAGAATTTATCATCTAATTTGTCTATCGCTATTTTGTAGCTAGTTATTTGACTAGTTACGCTAGGAAAAGTGCCATTATGGTTGGTGTTAAAGGGTTAGACATCGGTTAATTAACAATGAAAATGGAACAATGTTAAATACCGGCGAAATAATAATATTTATATAATTTTAAACAGTTCAAATTTTAGTTAGTTTAACATATGAAAACAAGGTTGAATAATTAGTGTTAAATACCAGCTTTTAAATGAAAAGAAAAATATGTTAGGAGAAGGATGAAAATGGTTCAACTACTTACAAACGAAACATCAAGTTTCAAGTTCAATTCCATCGATATCGATGAATCTTCTGTGTATTTCTCATAACAAATGTTATGTTATCAAAGTTTATACAATAATTACATTTTTGATAATTGTCGTGATCGATGTTCGATGATCAAAAGACAACAAATGAGAGGAGACAAAAGGAAGAAAGAAATATCGATGAATGGCAACGTGAATGTATTGGTATTATAAGTTCCCATTTTATCGTAGAAAAGGTCCTAGACCTCTGTTTCCATGGAAATCATTATTTTATGACATCCGTGGTTAGGTACTCTCGTTTCAAGTGAGAAGCGGTCAAAAGTCTGGTTACGAGGATGGAATTCTCGATTCCGCTTCGCAGCGCAACAAATGCAAATGAAACTTTCTTCCTCGCAGACGCGTGTCCTGGCATTACTCGTGCCAAGGTCATTGATTCCTCCAGCAGTTCCGGCTTAGTATCTGGGCCAGGTTAACCGATCCAACAGAGCTGCCAACGGAATCGACCGGAATACCATCGCCAACGGCGCGCCGTCGCCGACACATCTCGATACATCTTGAGGTGTTCGCGGCCTGTCTAATGAGACTATAGTCTGCTTTTCGAAAGAAGAGCCCTGAGAACATACTGACAGTCACAATAAATGTTTATTGGAGCCTAATAAGGGAAAGTTTCATCAAAATTCTTGAATAATTAGTTTTCAGCGAAGTGCTGTAAAAGTCTTTGAAATGGTACTTTTTACCAAAGTACTGTTAATGAAAAGGTACTTTTTACCAAAGTATTGTTAATGAAAAGGTACTTTTTACCAAAGTATTGTTAGAATCCTTGAGCAATTACTTTTTAACAAAGTGGCACGAAGGTTTTTGGACGATTACTTTTTAGCGAAGTGCGATAGAAATCTCTGAAAAGTTGCTTTTTAGCAAAATACCATAAAAGTCTTTGGAAGATTAGCTTTTACAAAAGTAACGTTAAAATCCTTGAACAATTATTTCTTAGCAAAGTGGCATAAAAGTCTTTGAAAAGTTTGTTTTTACGAAATTATTGTTAAAATTCTTGAGAAGGTACTTCGTACCGAATAGTATAATTTCGTCGATCGATCAATCAAATACACATAGCAACGCGACTCGAGGCAGCTCGCAGCTGTTTCGTTAGTATTAGCAGTAATTTCGAACATACCAGGTACAGTGGTAAGAATTTTGTGGACGACAATGTCGAATATCACAAGTGCAACAGGATTATTGGAAGCACGTATTCAACCAATACGTCGTCTTAAAACTAAGGTATTCTTTAAAATTTCCATAATGTATTAATAGATCAGATTTTAAATGTTAATCAACTCAGAATTTATTATTGAGAACTATTTTCAGATACACAAAGCTTATAAATAAATAAATTAGGTACTTTTAATTTACTACATTACTTATTTCATTAATCGTTTTCTGATACAAGTCACACATAGTGCGTGACACCAGCAGTCAAGATGTAAATTTTTATTTCGGTTATATTTCTTGTGAAAATTAAATGAAGTAGGATCCAATTTATTGTACTGTAAAAGTTTAAGAAAACTAGAAGGTATTTTGTGTTTTAGCGTGTAGAACTTTCAGGAATTTCTAAACCAGCTCCTCTTATACTTCGACCCTTTTCTGGTCTCTTTAATCCATACCCTTATGGTTGTTCTGTACTGTGTAATCATCCAGCTGACTGCGAAGCCAAAGAAGTACTGCGACGAGCTAAAGATTCATGGGTAAGAAATCTTATTTTAACATTTCACAGGTTGTCTTTGTAAGATTATACATGTCGGAGCAATAACTTTGATTACCCGGTACATGTGCATTATTTTAACACTAAAACTACTGAACAGGTCAAATTGACTCACTTGAACACTTGTATTTTACAAGTACTTAAATTATCAAAGTGTTTTTGCGAAAGATTTTCAATTAAAGTGGATCTGTACAAACACAAAATTAAGAAACTCTTCTAATCTCAAGAAACCTATTATATTTAATTTTAGAACTTTTGTTTAAAATTATTTAACTCAAAGTTTGGAATTTAGATTAACAATTGGAAATAAATGACTCTAATTGTTCGGTAATTTTACTCTTAACACATGAAAAATTTCTCTCCTAAAAGCTGGATAATAAATTCGTTGTTTCTCGAGAAATTCCATCGTCTACATTTATAAAATTAATATAATTATAATTACAATTATAATTATTTATATTCTAGTACAATATCAGATGCCTCGTTTATCTTAGCGACCTAATGCAACGTCATTCGATATTCAAGACAATAGTATAACAACGATTCTTTTGTCACAAGAGTTGTCTCTGAAAAAGGTACAAAAATACTCCACTAATTGCAAGAAGAATTCATTCAACAATTTTTCTCGCAGTCAGATTAACTTCTATTCGAAACAACTAAACAAATATTAAGTGCTGCAAGTCGATCTGAGCCTAGCTGCGCCTGTTTTAAGATTTACGGCACGTGGATCGCCATTCAGTTTAAAACTAGGACGCTAGAAGCGCACGTGTTAGTAAGTCTGCGTCGTAATAAATTAGCTTCCAGAGGCCTGATTTCAGTGTTGATCTATCGATAGCTGAGAACTAGATTATCCATGTTCCTTCTGAAAACTAGTACATTTATGAACTAAGTTGAGGAATCAAAAAGTTAATCCTAAGCATTTACTAGGCAAACGCTGGCAAAGCTTTGCATCGTAATAAATTAGCTACAGATTGTCCGTGTTCCTTCTGAAAATTAGCACATTTACGAACTAAGTTAAGGAATCAGAAAGTTAATGCTAAGGGTTTACTAGGCAACTGAAGACAAAGCTCTGCCTCGTAATAAATTAGCTCTCAGAGACGTAATTTCAGTGTTGATCTATCAACAGTTGAGAATCAGATTGTCCATGTTCCTGCTGTAAACTAGCACATTTATGGACTAAGTTGGAGGATCAGAAAGTTAATGCTAAGGATTTACTAGGCCACCGAAGGCAAAGCTCTGCTGCTACCAGAAGAAATGGACATGATTAGGGCAAGTGTAGCGGCAGCTACTGGCACTGCAGACATGGCTGGACCGACCGAAAACATGGAGGGATTTAACGTGGACACAGCCGCCGTTCCAGAGGAATTATTTCGCAAATACACCGAGACCGATTCCAGACCACTGACACCTGCACCTACGCTTGCCAGTGGGCCTGCGTTGACCAACAGACCTCAAGATGATCTGCCAGCGACCTGCAATCCTCAAGAACGAACCACTTTGATCTTGGACCTCAGGGCAAACTCAAAGAAACAGATGGTTTGTAATTATGTGGCGGTACCATTATTTTATTTGCATTTAACTCGTTGTCCTATGACTTCTTTTTCAACTGTGCTCGATAGAACTGCTTTATCGTTAATAATTTAGTAAGAGAAGAAAAGCATCTGATGCTTCGTCTGTGTTTATATTTATTCTGGAGGTTAAAGAGTGATAATAGACAAGTAATGTTTCATTTATACGAGAGGAATGACATTTAAATTTGTTGAATTCGGTTGGACGTTTTCATCGCGAGTTTCATCACTTTTAACTTTTTGAGAACGAGAGTAGTATTCTGATTTCAAAGTTTCTGTAAAGTATAAAACGGTTACTGATATGTTCATTGAAACAGTAAATTGTGATAGACTAACGGTTTAATATTCTTTATGTTCTTAGGAAAATGAAACTTTTACTTGGCATGCTTTGACTCTAGAACCACCGCCAACTTCTCGTAAAGCCAGAATCGTTGCACCAAAATCATTCGTTCGACATCGATCACGTTCACCGAAGCCGTTGGCGGACGTGTCATCTTCGAGTCCACGTGAAGAAATATATGAGCCGGTAAGAATTATTTGTAAATTCAATACAATCAAAATAGAAGGTTAATTTTAAAATGTATTGTAATATTTTTTCGCTACATTTATGTAGATATTAATTACACAGACTTCAAGTTTTTCTTGAAAACATCTCTTTTCACCACTGTGTGGACTAGATCTTATTTTCTATTCAATCCAATCATATATTTCACTTTTTTCGGTTTGAATTGAATTAAATTATAAAGATATTTTATTGAAATTTCATATGAGAAAATATATATAAAATAGAGTCGTTAGTATCAGCTGTTGGTAAAGCAGATTCCACATTTTCAATTTTAAGATTAAGAAAATAAGTAATTATTTAAACGCAAGACACTTCTTCGACATATTAAAACTATAGCCGCACGATTTCACAAAGAAAAATACACAAAATGGAAAGAATGTATTGTTAACCCTTTGCACTCGGGAGGCGACTCTCGGCCGCCATTAGTTCGGCCCGACAAAATGGCGACACTAAAAATCTAATATTAAATTCAATGTAACAACACACTGAGCATCGAAATAAAACAGTCCTATTTCTTAATTTACTTTTAATTGAAATTAATTTAAATATTAATTATTCCTTAATATTTTCATATGTTATATGTTTCATATATTGTGTATGTTATTGATAAAAGTCTGTATTAAACAATAAAAGAATGTTTCATTCATCAAGAGTTCAAGTAGAGTCGTAGAAGAGGAAAATACAGGAAGAACAAACAAGGATCTCGGAATCATTCGCCGGAGAGGGAAACGCCTGCGTAAAGGGAAGAATCGCAGCGGTTCAACTTACAGGCAACACACAGAAGTCCACGATTTGTTGGAACCAACAGAAACTCAAATATCGCATATAGGGGATGGTTCCAGAAGGACTTCGTTAGTAAAAATATTGAATTTCCTTATTATTAACCTTTTGCACTCGGAAGTATTTCACTAGAAATATTTAACATTGTCCAACTAGACAAGTACGATGTTTTTTGAAATGAACTCAAAGAGAAATCACGTGTAAATTAAGAAACAAAGCTTTTTTATCCCAATATTTCACACGCCGATGCATTACATACAGTTCAGTATTAAATATCAAATTTTATAGTTTTACTGCATCAAATCACGTGATGACTGAGAGTCACCTCTCGAGTGCAAAGGGTTAACTCCTTGGTGTATCATTTACTTTCGCTGCTGAGCTCGTGTAACATTTTACTACCGAAAATTTGGAAGAAACGCTTCGTTCTTTTTGTTTTTATTGCAGAGTTCATACAACGAATGAGGACACAGAAAATCCGTCATTGACTCCCAAGAAGATAACTACAACAGTACCTCCCGCGACGCCTGTCAGTTTCATCGATATAGACATTTTAAAACACTTACTCCGAGAGTTAGATCGGGACAAAGTGGAAGCAGAATTCTCACTTAAGGTGAACACCGGAATTAGTGAGATATCTGAGCATCTGATCTTTATGCAAATTAAAAATTTCATGAATATAATTCGAAAAATAGAACCACCGTGGATAATGATTATTCTTAACAGATATTATAGAAAGCACTACACTTTCGATATTTTATAGATTTTTTCGTTTTCCGTGAATTCTGTGCAATTTTACATTTCCAGATTCCCTATAGTTTCATAAAAATTCGCGGTCTAGAAATATCTTAGGGAACACGTGTTAGGATGTCGAGGATTATACCAACTGAAATTTTTGTTTATTAATTATTTGATATAGACTGATACATTTGTATGATTAGTGTTAAGATTGATGTGCAAAATGATTACACCAATTGAAATTTTCGTTTGTATCTTTAGAGGAGACTTGCGTTAGAGGAAGCTCTGCGAGCTAAGGGCGAAGGCTATTCACGTACAAGAGGACATCAAGCATTCTCGAACTCTAAAGTAGCAAATACACCAAGAGTATTTTCCCGTCAAGTGGTTCGCTTCGAAATCCTTGACGGAGGGAGTCTACGCAGTACGTATAACAACGTAACAAGTAGCTACGACTTATATTTCAACTATAATTCTGACATTTTATTATTGTCATGATATTAGAAATAAAAAATCCGAATATATAAACTGCATTTCTTGCTACGATTTCGAGTTATTGACAATTAAAGTTTTTTAATGAAAACGCGAGCAAAGTCTCTGTGTTAGTTTCTGGAATCTGACCACTCAGACGAGAGTGACAGACATAAAAATCTGTGTCTAAATGAAACACTATTCATGTTGTGTAGTATATATATATACGTAGATATTGTGTAGTATATTAATATTATATTAATTAAATCTCATTATATAGTATAGTATTATAACTCCATACTTATACGAAGTCTAAGTTTACTTTAGTTTAACAAGTTGTATCAACATTGGTAGCATCTGCAGCTATAACTCTGGAGGTCAGAAGTTTGAATCCCAGTGTTAAAATTTCTTCTTTTTTCTTTGAATCATAATCTTTGAATAATTTGTCTTTTATTATAGTAATGCTATTTACATGTGTCAGAACAGATTGCCAGCAACTGACACTAATCAACATAATTTCTTTCAGATTTAACAGTTTCGGATTACCTCGGCAAACACGTTTCCATTTCATCCGGAAGGAAATTGATCTTCGGTAGAGCTTTCAATAAATTTCAAGAGGATGCGTTACGAACCACCAGATACATTTTACCCGATGACATTCGCGAAGCTCTTCAAGACGTTATCGGAAAGCCGATAACCGATGAACAAGAGGCCTACTTGAAGTCTGTGATCGGCGAGATCAATGAGTCCTTAAATTTTAGAAGTTGGTGCGGCTTGTGCGGTGCGGTGGAACGATTATTGTGTCCCCTTCCACACAAAGACGTCGACCCAGCGTCATGGTTGGAAAGAGTCGACTTCGAGGCTCTGGAACGGAGACTTAATTCCGTTGATGTGGATCCTCAATTAGCTAGATTTTTAAAAGAAATTCGGGACAAGTGAAACAATTAACAGTAGAAGTACTGTAACAGTTAAAATGACTGGTTTCGATTTTTTTGTTTAGTAATTATTGATATTTTAAAGGCATTATCATTCCAAATGATTTTGAAAATAAATAGTTTCACTTGAGTACTATAATGAATGTCTGAAGGAACTGAAAATAATCTATTATTACAATTTTTATAGGGATTACATTATTAATTGTATTAAATGCTCGGTAGTTCTAGTGTTAATGAATATGTCTTTAAGTGGTAAAACAATTGACAAAAGCGGTCAAATAACATAGCTGTATGACTTCATAAAATGTTTGCAAATGTGTACCAATGTTTGTGACAGAATTTGTACTTAGAGTATTCATGTAACGAGTATTCACTTGCGTTTGTTTTCAATTCAGACTATGTTTAGCACAAAAAGTTTTATAAGTTATTTTTTAGTATATCTTTGTAAAACATATACTTACCTAATATTGAGAATTTCCGAAAATAAGTTACTAATATGATTCAAAACTAATAGAAGTTCGTTTTCTGTGTAATAGTTATAATAACTGATTTTTTCAATTAATGATCGTTATCACTATCACAAGAACTGTCATTATTTTCGTTTGATTTTTGATGATAGTGTGTTGTAATATTTTAAATGTTTAAATTAAAGAATCAATCAGGTGACAATAAGCAAAGTAAAAGAGATCTAGCATACTAGAAGACTTATTGCTAATAACATTAAAATTCTCCATTGCTTTTACATATATAAATGAAGTTCCTTTATTTATTATATCTTATTATCGGATGGCTCGTTTGGTATAAAAGAAAAACAAAATTATGTCAGTAACAATTTTTATTGTCAGTAATAATTGCTAAAATAGTTGTCAAAAACAGTTTGTCATATTCTATGTCCGACATTCTGTATAGTGATAACGAATGAGTCGTAGAAAACAATTTGAAAGATATTTTCCTTACACATGTATAAAAAAAGGTTATACATGCAGTGCAATACTATAATAGTCGTCATTCAAGATTTCTAAAGATAAACGAGTCTTCACTATGGTTGCTGTACAACACTGTGTAAAAGAAGTAAAGGACAATGATTGCTTTTTTCATAATAATATCAACTTTCTCAGTATTCTCAATTTATGCATCTACTTCTGTTCCTTTTCCATCATTTTGTATACAGGACCAAGTGGAATAAAGAAATATATACAAAGTCTGCGTTCGTCGCACAATTTTATTGCCGGAGCGAACTCGCCAGTACCTACTCGAGCGTATACAATTATTATAACCATCTTCGGTTGGCTACCGACAATGTACAAACTGTTCGAGCTCTCTCGTTCTCTCACTTTCTCTCACTTTCTCTCACATACATACTCTCTCACACTCTCACACTCTCACTCTCTCTTTCTCTCATATCTCTTTCAACACAATAAATAAACGAATTTGCGCGCATGTTACTAATACGTAACCACAATATAAAATTGTCCTGCGTTAGTTAAATAAATTAAGTAAACGAACGGTATAAAACGGTAGAGAAGTATAATCGGGGCCAGGGCATACTTTTCGTATCGATATAACAATAATATACTACTGGTTGCATTTCTGTCCGTGTCGTCTGCGTGTCGTGTGTGTTTATGTCTATGCGTGTACCGCGTGTAACGAGTGTACAATTTCCTGTGTCCGCGAATTTTGTATTCGTAAGAGTGTATACTGAATGGGCATTGATCAATTGCTAATTTCTACGTCACATTGCACATACAGCTAACGTACAAATATAACGAAGTGACGATTCGTACGACACTACTTCCTAGAGTCTCTATACAGCGCGACGCTATCCGCCGTTCAAAGTTCACGAGACCTAGATACACTTTTGGTTCCAATTGTGGAAAGACGCCACTCGGTGCCATTCTCCTTGGAATTCTTCAATGGCNNNCTCTCTCTTTCTCTCTCTTTCTCTCTCTCTCTCTCTCTCTCTCTCTCTCTCTCTCTCTCTCCCCCTCTCTTTCCCTCTTTCTTTCTCCGTGTTGATTCTCAGTATAAAAAAAGTTGCTGCTGCTGGTAGGCAGTGGGGCTGGAGTATGACAACGGCATACAGGTAACAGCATTGGGCTAGTTGCCATTCGTTCCATAGATTTTGCCAGCCTTCTTCGCCATGTTTCCCAACATTTCCATAGAATACTTGTGCGCGGACCTCAACGATACCGCCCACTCTTTTAAACTGATTTCATCCTGAAAGATTAAACGTTATGATGTCATTTTTTCTTAAAATACGGATAGAAATGTATTACTTACTGGATTTGTGAGCACTATTTTTACATCTCTCTTACGAACGATAATACACTGTTCTCCTTTTACTTGTTGAAGATCCGCACTGACTTCTTCTACCTGAAAGTTTCGGATAAAATACTGATATTAGTTTGGGTTTAGTTTATATTAACCCATTGCACTCGAGAGGTAACTTTCACTCACCATTTGATTTCACACGGTAAAACTATAAAATTTGATATTTAATATTATACTCCGTATAATGCATCAATTTGAGAAATATTGAAATAAAATATCATCTTTATCTCATCAGAAAACGTTAAAATATTTCTAGTGAGAACCTTCTGAGTGCAAAGGGTTAAAAGCGTGGTACAACTTTTAGAAATATTAAGTTGCTAATGCTTAAATGACACTATACTACTTTTTGCATCATTTGATCTTTGTAGAACTGTATCAACATTATTTAATTCATTTCTTACCTGACCAAGGAAAACAAGTTCTGGCTTCACTGTGGATTCAGGATATAATTCTAATCGATTGGGGTACAGTTTAGCATAACGCGTCTGCCACGCGCTGGCAAAAGGACCGCCTAATTTCTTAATATAACCTTGTAAAATGCAATCTGAGCCTGTAAACGATAACTACAATCAATATAATATTTCTTGACTGATACTCAAAGACAATATTAAATAAAAACAACAATATTCCTTACCTCTTTCATCTGTGTCAAACCTTTGTTTCTGTTTTGCTTTCTTTTTGCTTTCTATCTACAAAGAAAAAGAGAAGGAAGAAAGAATTAACGTTAAGATATTTACTCAATGTTGAAAGATAAGAGAAAGCAGATGTGGCAATTTTTAAAAAATTGTTACCTTGTCCGTTTCAAGATTAACTGTCTCAAACACAGTCTCTGCAACCTCAGCCTGCCATCTCTCCGAAATTACTAAAGGAAAATCTTTGTAGAGTTCTTGATCAGCTTCCGTTAATTTGATACCCTTTGTGTCCTCTTCGTCAAAGGACCCGATATCAAAGGCGTCCGCGGCATTAACTTCACCGCGTGGCGGTATAAGTGGCGGCGTGTATTTCTGAAGATAAACTTGTTGCCAGTCAATACCCTTGAAAAAAGGATGTTCTTTTAATTCGTCCGCCCCTCCTCCCCGGCAACCGATTCTCTTGTTGATGTCTCGCTCCAGCAAACCTTCCATTAACGAACGTAGCTCTGGCGAGAATGTTTCCGGTAGCTCAACCTTCTGAAAGTATTTTTACTCATGTAATCGTTGTTAGAAACTGTGTGAAATGAAACAGTCAAAACTAAAGCAAATTAAAATAAATTATGAGCAAAAGTGCTAGAAGAAAAATGAAAAAGGGAAAAAGGCATTATGAATATTATAATATAAATAAAACAATATTAATCATTTTCTGTTTAATCACATGTGCAAAAGAAAAATTGAAATATCTTGGAAAGTAGACACAAAGTACACACCTTGGTTAGTGTCATCTGATCTATCTCGTGTTTCTCTCTCATTTTATGATGCCTAAATGGACTGTGACCTTTTAATAATTTATGTAACATACAGCCAAATGAGAACCAGTCCGCACTGGAATCATAGGTAACTCCCTTCGACAGTACTTCTGGCGCCATATATCCATGTGTACCACTGAAATGAAAATAAGTTTCAGTAAATCTGTCAGATTTGTTTTTTTCTTTTCTTATCTAAATTTTATTCTGTCATATTGCAATTGAATTAGAGCTTGCTACAATGATGCACTTATATTAAATGCTGTTTATTGCAAAATGATAGAATCTTTTATTGCCAGAAGTAATGGGTAATGCAAAGAAATACAAGCTTTTCTAAAATATATTTAACAACGAGTGCAGAAGATAATATGAAATGAAAATTGAAAGTAAAAGGTTGAAAGGCGAGAAGCTGAAACAACCAACAGAAATCAATTGCTGATCGTTTATAGAATTCTTTGATTGTACTTACACACTTCCATGCGGCTTTTTCTTTGAAAAATCATAGGCCAATCCCAAATCCGATATTCTGACATGACCATGCTTGTCTAGAAGGATATTTGCAGGTTTTAAGTCCCGGTAAACGATGAATCTACGGTGCATGTGTTCTAATCCTAATATCACTTCAGCTGCGTAGAACTTCATCTCCCTCTCATTGAACACACCATGTTGGCTAATGTGATAATGAAGGTCGCCACCATTCATCAGGTCCAAAATGAAACAAAGCTTGTCCGGCGTTTGGAAGGCGTATGTCATGCACACAATAAACGGACAATCCACCTGAAAAATGAATCATCGTTAGAATTTTTGTTGGGAATTAAGGATTAAACTTATGAACTAATAAATTCTGTTTCATATAGAATCCCTTTCAACTCCTTAACACTCATATTTATGTCAACAATATTTGGTATGTATTATAATTAATTGATTTCATTTATTTATTTGATTATCGTTTAATTTTTTTGTAAATAACACTGCTGCTGACATTTTATTTTCACTGTGCAGCTTAGCCATCAATAGACAGTGGATTTTTATGAAAATTTTAATTTGTTACAGTTACAAGTATTACAGAACCAAAGGTAAATAAAATTTTGTGACAATAATAGTTATATTAATAGTGTATTAGAAGATAATATTACGAAATGACGAAATTATATGAAAAATTTTTATTTTATTGTTTCTGAATAATCTATATAAGTTGCAAATTCATAAAAATCCGTGGTCAAGTTGTAAATCACTATTTAGATGAACCAGTTATCAACAATTAGTGAAAAACGACACTAGATAATTATTACTATTATCACATTCCCTTTGTAACACTTTCATAGTCATAATTTCTATTATAAAATTTGTCACCTATAGCCAGCATTTTCTGAAGTCGATCAATAAACAAAGGCATTTGACCAATTGTTAACTCTCATTATAAATTCCTCCAAAAAAACATATTTCTCACTCAAAACCTAATTGAACTAAGAAAGTAAAATCGCTAACCACTTTAATAATCAATATTTCATTGAAATATTTGTAAATTTCAGTAAATGTTTATTGTTATCATTATCAGATTGTAGATCTTTATTTTCATTTTCACAAATCGTTTCACAAAAATTCAAATACTATTCCTATTTTCTGTATTACATATAAAATAATCACATTTCTATACAAAAGATGACACAGTCATTAACCTTATGTGATACACGTTCAAAGCATACACTAGTGGTACAAAAATATTGGTTTACGATCTTATTCAAATATTTGAAAAATATTTTTTAAGCCACACTTTTTAATATGAATAAAATATTAGATCTAAATATTGTACATATGTACAAGAAATGCAAAGTAAATGTTCAGAAAATATCAACTAAATATTCGGAGAATATAAAATAGACATTCAAAAAATATATATTTAATCCTTTGCACTAGAAAAGCAACTCTCAGTCATCATTTGATTGAATACAGGAAAATTCTGAAACGAAGAATTCAATGTAAAATGTTGAATAAGGTATTATATAAGTAAGGTTTCTTTATGTAAGTTGCAAATAATATTGTTAACATTTCATCAGAAAATAATGAATGTTTGCAATGAGAAATATTGTCGAGTGCAAAGGGTTAATATTTATGTATAGATTTGCATATTCTGCTTAAGTCTATCGAGTCTGAATATTTCATTCATCTTTCTATTGAATTTACGTTTGGCCAGAAATAAAATACCTCAGGTTCTTATACTGCATATGTGTAATTCATCAAAACAGTTATTCAATTCCCGTTCCATTTGACGTGAATTTCAAGTGCGTTATTACAGATAAAACAGAGAACAGTGTTTTTTTTTAATGTAAACGTCCGTGAGTTCAGTCGATTTCACAGTCGGCCGCGCACCGTGTGTGTATGTACATTCAAATAATAAAGGAAAAAAAAACGTGTATGATACTTAAATAAAAAGCACAGGAAAGAAATTTATAATTGTCACACGACAGAAAAATTGAATGTGTTGGAAAAGTCGAACGCAAAAGTATTCGTCCACTTACATGTTAATAAATGATCAATCTGTTACAGGATTATTGTGTGTAAAATGAGCATTAATTCGTTTACTGTTTCTTCTGTAAAATTGGAAGGAATTGTTTTTTATTTTAGTAAAAATCATTCTTTTAACTCTACGCGGACGAATTCATTTGTGGTATTGAAAATTCTATTTATTGCAATGAATAACTATTTAGTTTGAACAATTACTATGTTATTATATGTTTCTTTTAATTTTTAATATTGAAATTTCTAAAAATATATAATTAATGTAACAAATCACGTAAATGATATATTTGAATCTTAACAATATTTTCATCTGTAAAGGGTTAAATTCTATTATCTTTTAGGGGATGTTTTTAAAATTATTTTTGTTTTTATTTTATATAGAATGTTTAGTTAGATTAACATCTATGGATGGAGCTAATTTTTATAAAATATCAAATTGTTCTTTTTACTTGGTTTTTATGATCAATTTCATAAATGCTGATTTAATGAGATTAAACTGTTTTGTAATAAGTGCTGCTTTAATATGTTTGAACATAATTAATGATTCACTATATATACTGTCTATAATGTGATGGTCACTAATTTTAGTTGTGGGCACAACAGCCTCATTTGATTTCATGGTATAAGATTTTTCGTTCATAACAATGACGTGTTTCCAAAGATCTTCTGACACAATGAAAATTTGCCAGATTTTTAAATAGTTTTAAAACGATAATAGATGGAATTTATACGAATCGACTTTTTAAAATATAAATTCATTTAACAGTAGAACTACCGAGCACTTAAGCCATCTTTATAAAAGTGAAAAGCGTGAATTTATCAAGATTTCAATTGACTTATATCTCAATTCTTTATCATTTCTTTAATCTTTAATCATTTCTTAAAGAAGTGTCCATATCTCGGCAATAATTGTAAAAGAAGACATTAGGAATTGATCATTTTGACCCACCTAATAGTTCTAGTGTTAACCCCTTGCCATGCCATTTTATCATTTAAAATTTTTATCACGAGTCAAACTTGTTAAAGTACGCCAAGAGGTTAATGAAGTCATACTTTTAACAAAAATTCCTTGAAAAAAGCAAACAAACACGTCACGACAAAACTTCTTGGCAGACCTAACCTCTGTAAACAAAGACGTTGAGTAGTAACAGGTGGACGAAGACTTCCGCGGCCGACTGCGTTGAATTGAGGTTAAGTCAAGGCTCACGGTGACCTTGTCTTAATGACACTCCAATTAGTACATTCGTTCGTTGTTCACACGGAGCAAAAGAATGTCGAGAAATGATACAGTAGCAAATAAAAGATACACTCGCATTGAATATTGACCGGTAACAATAAAAATGAAAACATTTGGCTTACGTCGTTTTGCCGTACAGCCACAGATACAGGCGGACATGTTTGAATCCATAGATGACCATCACTGTGACACTATCTTCGTTTGTCATCTAAGTTTAAATGTAACTGTCTGTTTTTGTTTTTCACTTTGTTACATGTAATCTCTCATTCTGTTTCTGGAAATGTTCTTTCATTAGCAAATAAATCTGTACTTTTCTCCGTTAATATTAAAGCAAACGATACTACCCCTGGTAAAAAGTATTTGATCAAACAAACGAAATCAGTGGAGTGAGAATTCGATTTATTTACAGACGAAACGTAAAAGGTATTCCGACAATACGCGCCGGGAAGGAATCGTGTAAGCCGGTCCTCTATTCGCTCGAGCGAACTGTCGATGTGAAAATTAACGTCCCCTTTCTATTTCGCAGATCGAAGGTAAAGAGATTCAATTTTTTAAAAGGAGTTCTCAAAAGAAATGTTTAACCGTTTGAGTGCTTCTTTCTGTTTCATCAATTCAGAAACTGAATTACGATTTTGTATTTTTACAGAAAAAAATTCTAAATACTGTCAACGTTTCGTTTTTACATTTCCAAGCTGGTAATAACAGAAATGAAAAGAAATAATTAGAAGAAAAATAAGTAAACAAATTTTGGCACCTTTCAGCAGTATAATCGAGAACCACCATCATGCTTAGCTCTCGAATGGTTAAATGTTAGTTGATGAAAGCTTTGGAGCAAATTTGTTATGTTCTTTGCTTATTTTGTTTCAGATATTGAAAATAAAAGGGAATAATGTTTTGTTATATTATTTCATAGAGACATGACAAGTTTTATAATGTCAATATTTTTTTCGGGTACAAACAGTACCCAAAAATCTCGTTATATAATATGCTTACAGTATTGGGCAAATGATTATTTTTTTTCAAATGAGTGTATTTGAATTGAGGAAAGTATAAAAGATTAATGAAATCGCAGAAAATTAATACTATGATTTCATAATGCAAAACAAGAATGTTCCATGAGTAGTAGTTACTCTATATACAGAGGATATTCTAATATTCTAAGATTATTACAAATGTATCCTGTTAGAAATTTACATAAGACATTTCTGAACTTTTGCAAAATAATACCGTTATTGTCCTTATAATGTGTTATTGTAAACTATTACCGAAATTAAATTGAATTTTCCTATTAAATTCAGATTAGCATATAGTTCTGTCAATTCTGTAATATCATAAATAGTATTTTAAGTTACAATCGCGTTACAATATTCAATTATCATCAATATCTTTAGTTTTATTCTTCCACGTCGTTCTTCTCTAAGTAACATGTCTTTAATATTTCAGATTCTACGTTTCTACATTCACAATGCCCTTTAACAAACAATAACGTACATGCAGCATAATTATACAGCAATTGTTATCTATCCAGTATTATACAATTACACATCCGATTTGTAACACACAAATAATTTTTATAGCGATCAGGTTAACCCGTTTGATCGAATACTTTCTGCCAGGAGTAGTAATTAATTAAGGTGGTAATGATAGGATTTATTTCTCGAAGAACGTGACCAGCCAACTGTTTTGGTGGCTACATTAATAAATACATATATATGTGTATACGTAAACCAACATAGACATATATATGTACACTGAATAATATACACTGATGATGCTCTTCCCAAAAGCATGGGTGTATCTTGTATAGCTTATGTAGATTTCCGTCGGGAATTTCATTCCACTTACTGTACTATTCTACAATGTCTGCGGTATGAAATAATTTTAAGGTAATCGAACATTATATTAAACATAGCTTACTCCTGTACTGACTGCCGAAAGCATTATCCTTTCATTCAGAGATAAAGTTTCGCCCTGTTTCATTTTTATACGCTTCTTGTCGAGGCTCTTCATTGCGTACATTTTCCCCGTGTCCGCTTTCCGGCAGCCATAAACTTCACCAAAACCACCCCTGCCAATTATTCGATGCACACTGAAGTCGTTCATTGTCAACTGAAACAGTAATCCGTCCAAGCTACTTGTGAATACAATATAGAATTAGAATTCTTGTGTTAACAGGTTAACACTTTCCGTTCAGGCTGCTTGGAGTTCTCATTGAAAAACGAAGGATTTTTGAAAAATTTGCTAATTATGATTTTGTACTATTGTAAAATTGTAAGGCGGACGTCAAAAACAAATTTATTTAATTGTAAAAGTCTGAATGGAAAGTTTATAAAAAACGGTACGGCTCTCTATAAAAAAATTAACTTTGGAGAACCAGTAACCAGTTTTCTCTCTTTGTCTTTACCTCTACTTCTATTTTTCCATTGCTGCCTTATTATTGTTTCCTCTATTTTCTTGTATAATTCTATATATACAGATTTATGGTCCATAATTTACTTTGTAATAAATAATAAAAAAGAAGATATAGAATTTGTTAAATACAAAAATGTATCTCCCCGTCGGGGAATCGAACCCCGGTCTCCCGCGTGACAGGCGGGGATACTAACCACTATACTAACGAGGATCTTACGGACACCTCTTTTTCTTTAGACGTACACTAGATATGTATTCGCTAGAATATGTAAGATTGCGTAATATTAACCAACAAATTGAGAAAATGTTTAACAGTGATTCACCATGACAATATAAATGTTAAAATAAATCAAATATTTGACTATGCTCTCTATATTTTAGTAATTAGAAGTTCGCCTGAACAGATGCAACCCGGCCAACACACGTGTATGATGGAAATAGAATCCATTGAGTAATATTCTGGAAGTCGTCCCTGCAGTGTTCATGTTTTGAATCTCTAATATATATAGTCAGCAATGAAAGTATTTGAACAGCATGGTAAGAAATAAATTATAAAAATTATAATAAATAATCCATAATTAATTTTCGTATAACAAGTGAAGTTTGATAGTTCTGATAATTACCAAAACACAAATTCCTACTGTTTGCTGTAAATAAACCATAATCCTTAAATAAAAAGCAGCATTGATGTTAGCTAAATATAAAACGACTTCATAAAGCGTTTCATTGTAGTGAAGGTATGTTCAAGAGTTTAAGAAACAATTACTGCTTAATTAAGTTCTCTCTTAGCTACTTTGCAGCCCATTCCCGTGTTTTTCCTCTTGGGATTATTAATATCATATTCTCTAGATTCTAATTACGATTATACATAGCTACACAGTGAGAGAAGAAACTTATGGTATCATTTGCAATGTTGGATCTGTAGCAGCTCACTGTATTTATTAATAATATTAATATCGAAGTATGTGACAAGTGAGTGTTATCCATTTACTAAAAGAGTAATAGAAAAGAAGATAACAATAAATCTAGTAAAAGAACTGCACTTCTGGGTATCTTTATTTAGTTAATTATACTATAATATTATGAATTTGAACTAAGTTGTACTTAGTTTAAATTGTACTAAGTTTTTCAACGATACATTATTTATTTTTCCAGGTAAACGTGTAATTCTTCTTCATTGTGCTTTAGTTTTTCGATAAAATATATTATAGATGCATATGCTCTGCGTTGGGCGAGTGGATACTTTACTATTTGATTTTACTGCGCGAACAATGAGAGATTTTTCAAGATAAATTCCACAGTTAACTGGTTAAAAGACCGCCCAGTTGTGCAATCCATGCAATGATCCCTGAATTTGCGTCCGCCATGTTGTCTCAAATCAATGTACAGATTGCGTTAGAAAATATTTGGAATTTACCTGCATATTTAATTCTAAATTCTTCCACTGACAGAAACGGGTGTACTTTTCACTGAAAGCAAACAATAGCAGTCTTTTAGAGATCATTCGGATGTAATGTTTCATCTGATTTCGCATTAGACGAACAACTTACCTCTCCAAAAACTTCCTGAACGGCTCTCCCCTTAAGTGATTAAAAATTTCTTCGATATACGGCTGCAAAGGTAATCGATGCGATTTAATTGGATCGACGCAGTTTGACCAAGTTGTTAACGTTATTACAATTAAGCGATATCAGATCGTGAAGGACCAACCTCAAATAAATTAACGGGAACTTCGTTTTTTATGAGGTAATCCTGAACGGTGGCCACCGCTTCCATGGAGTATTCCTGGAAAACAATCGGAGAACAACAAAATTAGCTTGCGTTTCCGTTGGAGGTGAGATCTTTTAACACTAGAACTGCCGAGTGATTCAATTAAATTATATAATTTTTCAATACAAACTCGAACATTGTGTTTTCTGAGATTTCAATCGATTTATAAATTAGTTTGCATATTTTTAAATCGATTTCATTATTCATTTCACTGAGAAGCTTCTGATCCTTTCCAATAATTGTAGAATAAGAATGTAGAAATGGGTTATTTTGATCCATTTGTTAGTTCTAATGATAAATACACTTATTATGGATTACTCGACGATTATTTTTAGTGTTACGCGTGATGAAATACGTAATACTATCAAAATAAATGTGGATTATTCCATATTTATTAGTATAGTATTACGTGTGTGGAAATATGCGAAATAGAAGATCATTTTTGGTTTGAATAAACGGATTGAAAATTTTTAATTGATACATTAATCAGAACATTACAATTAAATTTTTAATTGATACATTATTCAGAGCATTATAATAAATAAATTAAGGTTCTCCATGCAAGTTTGAAAGATATAAGAAAATGTTACAATTAAGAAATATTGATAATGAGACTGTGAACTTTTCCCGAAATTCGAAATACCAAAAATGACAATAAAATGTAACATTTTCAGAATTTTCAGCTTATTAATGACACTTCTACTTCAATTCAGCCATACGATATTTTGAAAGGTCAAATAAATGTTTGCCTTATTGTGATTATATTAAAATGACCTATGGAAACAGAAATATGCTCGAAGGTCTGCAGCCTAATAACAATATCACATTAAAAGAAAATTATGGCACACGAAGTTTAATAGGATTTAATGGAGCTTTATTTTATTCTTCATTTACCAAAGCCATTCGTGAAAATCTGCTTTTGTACTGATTCTCGCGATCTAATTACGCTTTAATGGAATACTGTGTAGCGTTTCAAACAACATTGAATAAAACCACCGATAAAAATATCTGCTCACAGTTACGTTGTAAATTATATGAAATTCTGGTTGACGTCATTGAAATGATTAAATTCGAAGGTATTACTTTTAACGAGGAAATGATTTTTAAAAAGCGACTTTAAGAAAAAGCTACCTTTGAGTTTATTAAAATTTTCTAAAATGATAAAGTTCCCCCTCGAATTTATTAACTTTTATAACATTCATTCGGAAAACCCAGAGCTTTTTCGCTGCTTGTTACGGAGACTGCGTTTGCAAATGAATATTTAGTTAAATAAGTATGACAGAAAATCTAATGAAACCCTTTTATCAAACATTTAACTATAATGAACGTAAAAGTTCCTTTATGTCCCTGGTCATTATGAATATACTGCACAAGACGTATTAATAATGTCATATAAATATTACATAACTATTGTTATAAATTCTGACTCACGAAAAATATTAATTCTCCAAGAAATCATTTCGTATTACTCCTCCCGAGTTCTTTTTATTTACTAAATAACGCTTTCAAATGCTTCTTTGTGCAAAATTCAAATCTCTAGAAGCCAGAAAAGGAATTTCCATTAATATAATAAATAAGGAAATATTTACATGGAGGAATACTACAAAAGAAACCGTAATATTTCGTCCTCATAGTTGTGTATTTAAAGAATAACTAAATTGATGTTTATTATTATTATCTATTATTTATTTCGTACTATTCTCCTTATGTTCGTCTAACAAATTTTACTACGAATCATTCCCGAGAAAAACAAATTCCCTATCGATTCTAAATGGAAGCTTATTCCGAGGATAAAAGCATTGAGAACAGCAGAATAATTTGTCACGTCGATCCATGTATAATAAATAACATGGACTCTCATGAAATTGTTCGAAAAATCTTTACGAGTTAAATTGAACTGCCTGTGAATTCCTCAATATAAATTTCTAATGAGAAACCGATGGTTCCATTGAGAAATGTGTGAATCACACTCGAAGTTGAAGTTCAATAGTAAAATGATACTGATCTTGATGCTAAATAATGAAGTGTTCTCTGCAATAGAGGCTGTGGAAAGAAAAATACATAAAAAGGCAGCTGTTTCAACAGCTCAGAAGCGTGGGAAATGTTTAATATGCGTCAACGAAGATAACAAATGTAAATTGAACTGTGACAATGGCCAAGAATATGTGTACAATAAAAATGCTGCGCATCGAGCAATATTTCATCGCGTAGACAACTGTATAATATAAATATTGTTTGTCCATCTGTTTTATTCATCTTCATTGTCGCTTTCATAGTGATGTTTCGGCGTTTACTTCGATTTCCTGAACAAATAATCCTCGAGGTTTGGAAAATGCGGAAGTGACTCGAAATGTTTCTATAAAGTCATATTTTTCGCAGGCAAACACGAGGGAACTGAAATTAAATAAAATTCTATTTCTTCCGTGAATGGTCCGGCTGAATTAAAAAAGTATAATTGGAATGTGCCGTATTACAGTTTGTATTTCAGAACTGTCTGCGATGTAGAATTTTTAATTTAAATATAAGTGAAATATATTGCCATATGATAGGAACGTCTAACGTAGTTATAACTTATTCGATATTCCCTATGTATTTACTTGCATTTACTGTTTAGTAGAACACTGTTACTTCGATTTGCCATTATTAAAAATAATTCATCGAGAACTGACGTAAAAGTCATTAAATCTTAAATGAATTACACTATATAATAACTTGACGTCATCATTATTAACTGCGGTCATTCTTTTTGTTGTAACGTGATAAATATTGTTTTCTATTGAACAAAATAGTCGATGAAAATTGTTTACAACTCGATGCAGTGATACATGTTCATCGAACTTTAATTATTAAACTATTCGCGCGTGTTATGTACTGTGCGAAATTATTAGGTGAAGTTTTCATTGAAGTTCATTTTTATTTTTTAAATATTTCTACTAAATTTTAAACGCATTTTCCATTTCAGCGTCTATTTCGTAAAATATTACGAAAAAGTCATTTCTTGAATGAAAAGCAAGCTGGGAGGAGCAAGGATATTTTTTTAATTTTTCATTTATCGTATTTCTTTACGATCTATAGGTTATGACAATGATTAATGCAACAATAGACAGGATTCTATAGATATTGCCTTTTATGTAACAGCAAAAACGACATAAAACGAACAAAACCTATGATTTTTATCATGAACATTAAGGTTGATATAAAAATTGTCCATTACGCAATTAGATCGTGAATGTTACACACTTTTAATTTGTTATCGAAATTATTATTATTACAGATTGTCATGCATCGTTATGCACAGGATGAAAAGAACCTTTTGTTCGTCGGGGACAAAGGTTTCTGAGAAGAGGGAAGTGAAATCTAGTTTTTATGAACGAAGGTATTTTTTAGAAATTTATTTCTACGAATAAAATTTTGAGAAAAGATATAAAATTCCTACAATGTAAGTCATCTTAATTATTAACTTCACATTTTCTGCAGAAAATGTTTTTGGGTTATGCTGTTAATATTGTCATGAACTTAAAAAATGTACGACAGGAAAACGAAATTAATTATTACTAAATCTAGTATTGTACTCGTATTGTGGGATAAGAATCAATTGCATGTGAAAATAACATAAATAGTGCTATTTTAAATAACATAAATAACGTTATTAACACTAGAACTACCGAACAGTCTAACTGACTTTCTGAAATTTTTCTATGGAAACTTCAACAGTACTACTATTGAGATTTCTCTAAATTTATAATTCAGTTTGCCTGTTGCTGAATCAATTTCTGTAGTAATTTCTCAGAGAATTATCTGTTGTGTTTTTAATAATTATAGAAGAAGCAATCAGGAATGGGTCATTTTGACCTCTCTGGTAGTTCTAGTGTTAAGTAGCATAAATAATGCTATTTTAAATAACACAAACAATGCTACTTTAAATAGCATAAATACTGCTATTCCAAATAACACAAACAATGCTACTTTAAATAACACAAACAATACTATTTCAAACAACACAACAATGTTATTTTAAATAACACAAACAATATTACTTTAAATAGCATAAACACTGCTATTCCAAACAACATAAATAATAAATTATTCCCCGAAGCTAGTGTATTCCAAACTCCTGCCAAACAAAGAAGACTATTAAACGTGTCGAAGAGGTAAATCGCAAGCAGGGACAGCGATTGAATGCGAGTCTAAAATTAGAAATGTACTAAGAAAGCGGGTAAGTAAAAGTCGTATGAAAAAGAAAAAGGGGGAAAGAAAAAACCACGGAAATAGTTCCTCTTCTGAGCGCGTCGAGGGCTAGAGATTAGAAGCCCTCGCGTGACACCAAAAGACCTATTCCGGACCTTATTCAAGCATTCATGAAGAAGCTAAAGGCGAGGAAGGGTCCGAGCTTTTATACGGTTTTTCATGGTTCAGAAGCGATTTTTGGCGCTTTTTGCGCGCGTTAAAAGACAAAAAGGTGAAGATCTTCTTCAAGGCTTCTCTTTCCCGTCTTCCCGATAGAACCTTACATAAACACGTTTCGCTAAATAGAGTCGGCGAAGGAAGTTTCACGTGTACTTCGGTGGAATTTAACGCTAGGTTCAAGGACATTCACTGTACAGTTCGTTCTATTCTTTAAAAAATTTATATCTATTCATTTAGATCTTTGAGATCAGAGCTTTCAAAGTAGACAATTTGAGTCAATTGAAATGGATGAGTTGGATCAAATGGATGAGAATCACATGTACTTCAGTGGAATTTGTTTAACGTTAAGTTCAAGGACATTCACTGTACAGTTCGTTATATGTTCTTTAAAAAATGAACATCCATTCATTTAGATCTTCGAAGTTAGAGGTTTCAAAGTAGACGATGAGTTATGCTTATAAAATTGAATATGAGTCAGTTGAAATGGATTCAATTCAATTATAGCCTTAATTTTTCGGAATTATTATGCACTTTAACCCTCGGAGTACGGCATTCGCATTTTGTCTATTTTTTCGGCTCATTAAAATTTTTACTGGACGAACGTGTTAATTCTACTTTGAATCAAATTTCTAGCAAAGACACAGTGAAAGTAGAAAATTCACATTGACACGCACCTTCGGAAGAATTTCTTCATTTGACATGCTTGTGTATTTAACACCGTAACCCCATAAACATTACAAAAACAAATTGCACAGAGCCTGGAAGAATATTACTCACATGTGTGTGCGATAGCAGCTCCTTCATGATGTAATTGTCATAGATTTCTTTGGCAAGCTTTCTCCTCTCTTCAGGGCATTCGAGCTTCTCGTACGCCTTGATCTACAATGCACAAATGAGAAATTCCTTATGGAGTTGGATGGAATCGCGTGACACGACGCTTTACTGGAACCGAAGGAGGTATTCTATCTCGTTGGCTACTGGCAAATCGTATCTCCTACATTTCTCCGGATGCTCGGAGTCTTAAAGATACTCTACGCGAATATTAACCCTAACCGTACCATGTGTTTTTATAAAGAATCATACTACGATGTGACTCTCAGTCACTTACGAGAATAAAAGGAATGATTAAAATGTTATTGTTTTTGTTTATAGAGCCGAAATTTTAAAAGGCCAAAAAAACTTTTGGAAATGCAATATGAAGTAATCAAGAAATTTAATGAAAAAGTTCAAACGTGACACGAAGTCACATCGTGGTCCGATTAGGGTTAAGGGCACTAAAAAGAAATTTGTTATTTTTATACTTGAGTATACATTTTATGCTTAAGTATTGTTATCTATGGAATAACTGGCTGCAGGACCGTAGGTGTAAGTAAATGTGAAACTGTGGAATGGAAACTGTTTTACTTCGATGCTGTCGCATTGGCGGTTATAAAACGATCGCTAAGAGTGATGGGTTTGAGTCTTAAAGTTTTAGGATACTTGTACTTAAATAAAATGTGAAAGAGGATTAAACCCATCAGTTGTAGCGATAGGTTTGAGTCTTAAAGTTTCAGGATAATACTTGTACTCAAAGAAAAATTGAAAATTCTACAAGTGATGGGGCTTGAGTCTTGCAAAGTTTCATGATACATGTTGCACTTAAAGAAAAATTGAAAATTCTACAAGTGATGGATTTGAGTCTTGCAAAGTTTAATGACACATGTTTGCACTGAAACAAAAATTGAAAATTCTCAAACCCATCACTTGTAGCGATGGGTTTAAGTCCCCCAGAGTTTCATGACATTTGTACTCAAACAAAAAGTGAAAGAGGCTTAAGTCCATCACTTGTAGCGATGCAAGCATCAATGTTTCACAGTGTATATGTGCTTTTAACCCCTTCCCTTACAATATCGTGTCAGACGAGACGAAGATTTCTAATATGGTTTAACAAAGATAAATGTCATTGAGTTGTATTAAGTTCAAATAAAAAAAAAGTTAGCAATTTATATGGTTTATACTAAATCTAGACACAGAGAGAGCATGGAATGTTTTCTTTTACTGATGCATTACTAACACATTGACTGCCACGGTGTTTACCGATGACCGGTACTGCCAAATTGCCGAGGAACAATTACAATAAAAAGCTTGATTTTAAATAAAAATATTTAGTAACATAAGTAGTTAGATCATAGCATCATATGATTTGAACAAAACTATGAATATTTAGTATTTCAAATGAATTGCATCGCTACGTGAAATATTTCCAATGAAAAACATTCGAGTCAAGGGTTAACTTCCTTACGACAAAATAAATATTATTGTACGAAACAATGAAAATTCTCGTGGCAATCAATGTGTTGACGAGAAATAGTTCTAACAAATGCACCTTGGACATTCAATCGTAAGGCAAGAGACTAACAAGACACGCATCGTCGAAACACAGGCGATCAACATTCGACTTTCCCTTCGTTTAGATTTTCTTACACGCGTCCCTGCCAATAACGTCAATTGTTGTTCAACAGCTATTGACTCGAGCATCCCGAATGAGAGTCCCTTTGCCTGTGGGACTTTTTAGCTTACGCTTCTCGGCGTGGACGTGGTGGGCCACCTGTACTCATTCGGTAATTTATTCCATCCGCTTCTACAAACTTTCACTCGAGAAAAATCCTACATTGTGGTCACTCTGGAACTTGAGAGTCATTTTTCTCGAAACTACGTTTCTCGCAGCGATAGACGTGTCCTCTGCGAAATCGTTCGAGCTAATCATCTTATTCCCTCATAGGAAATGAAGGAACATAGATTAACACTGAACTATCGAGCAGTTAATACGTTGAGTGCCACGAAAATTTCGAGCGTTTTGAATAGTGCTATTTATTCTTTAATAACAAAGGCAAATGATATTGAAAATAATTATTAATGATTTAGTATTACAGTAGTCATATTACGCTATAGTCTACCTACTTACGTTACTAAATATTTTATTTAAAATCAAGTTTTTTATTGTAATTGTTCTTTAGCAATTTGGAAGCTCCGGTCATCGGTGACCACAGTGGCAATAAACGTGTTTAAATTGACTTTTTGAAATTGCTCTATAGAAACTGTAAGACTTTAATCGATTTACAATTCAGTATTGCTAAATAAAAGTGAAAGCTGGCATAAAATATATTTGTTATTATGGAATCAATAGTAAAATTTATAGTAAATTGAAAAATATAACTTCTTGTGATGTGAATTTTACGATTGTTTTCAAGTAATTCAGAAGCGTCAGTTATCGGTAACTGACATGGCATTTAACGTGTTAAAGATTGAGAAAAACGAAAATGTCCAATTACATAATACGTATCATAAAGAATCACATCAATTAATAAATTTGATAATATTATTCCTAATAAACATCCAATTGTAAATAATTAAATAAATCCTATCGGCCATGAAATTGATGGATTTAAAAAATTCGATTGAAAAATTGGCCTTCTTCGCGTTTGCCGAGTAGAATACCCCCTTAATAATTGTCAGTGTGTGTATGCGGGCTAACACGAACCTCTTCGTAAAACTTAAGCTGCGGAACCGGCTCCTCCGACACATTTTCGCAGAAGTCTTTGAATAAAAGGTAACCTGAAAATACAAAACGAGAAAAGAGAATGACGCATGTTTCTAGAAGCTGTTCGTCGTGTGGCTTCTATCCATAAATATGTAATCGTTCCGCACGAAATATGGCGACAGTAGCACATATCGAGGCAATTCCGAGCTTTCAACGGGTTCCTTACATTTTATTGTCGGCTTCCACTGTTCCTGCTAATTAATCGAATGTGGCGTGCGTTATCACTCGACATCGGATCATCGTGCAAATTCGAATTCACGGGAATATAAGAAACAGAATAGCAGAAAACGATTGTTTTTTGACAAATATTCAAGAATATAAACTACAATTCATATTTCAAATAATTTCCTTCCGTATTTTATTCAATTAAAGTTAGCCTAGTTATTACTCTTCGTATTTTCCAGCATCGACTGAAGTTTTCCTTAAAACTAATCAAAATGAAAATAATAAATTAATAAAAAGTGAAATTTAATTTCTGGGTACAAGAACAATCAATAATCCTTCACTTAGGATTACTGTCATTGATAATTGTATTAAATAAAGCATCATGAGAGGAAACAAGCATTAAAAAGATCAATTATACAAAGCTTACATAATTAAACAATCTTAACAGCTATAAATGATGAACATCTAACGAATTAATAAGTAAAATTTGATCAATTCGCAGATCAATGACCCGGAAAATAAGTGAACGCGTCAGACTCAGCATATCGTCTGAGATTCGTGCAATCCGTTCGCGTAGCTAGATTCCTTATTATGTAATACATAATTTTCTTATGTGCAACATTCGCGTAGCTCCAGTAGTTTCCAAGATATTCGACTGAATATAGGTCTCACCCCCGAAACGTCGACGTCTGTTTTCACCCTTTCGATATGAATGATGGCCGATAAAAAAAGTGCGTGAATATTTTCCTAAGAATTACTGCCCGCCGAAGTTTCATCGATATCGGCGGATATCAGTTCGGCGTGTCCTTTGTGAGATTCACTTGAGAGGCACTCGATTTCACGGGAAGACGAGCATCAAAGGAGCCGACGAACCGTAGAGACCCGCGCGCACGTGTATGCTCACGTGCGTAACGTAAAAATCGGATATAAAACAGCCTCGGCAGATAACATTCGTTATATCATTGACAGTGTTACGTGCTCACATTATAATATTAGCATCTCCGCCCTCCCACGCGTTGTTTTGCATCGCGAATTTCAAGAAATTTTGCAGGTTTCGAAAGTTTAAAGTGGGCCTTGGTTAGGTTTAGGAGATTCTGTTTGTTTGTAAATTTGTTATTAACCACTTCTCCTTAACATCGAGTCAGGCTCGAGATTAAAATTTCCGATGTAATTCGAGAAGTTTAAATATTCAGTTATTTTTCATAGAAATGAAATATTACTTGTATAGTGTCAATCTTTAAGCTTCGGTGTAAACAGACCGAATAAGCATGGAATTTTTTTTATTTTCTATTAAATTGTTAACGATAAATTGGTTTATTAAGCAGTATTGTGAAAGGCATCATAGGACAAGGGGTCAATGCATATTCAGCTTCGATGTTAAGAATAAAAATTGAAACGGATTGGGAAATCTTCGTTTTGTAAGCAAGAAGCTTGCAAGCAATCGGATTTGCTTCGAATTCTGGGGCGAAAAATTAATAGGTAAAAGTGAAAATGAAAATTCTTTTTTACGTATTTCTTGTTAGTAGATATTCAGCTTCAATTTTAGTAAAAATAATTATTAAAAAATTGGAAAATCTTCGTTTTAGTTTACGAAAAGTTTTGAGAACCAGTAAAACGCAAAGTTGCAAAATTATAGTGGCAGAAAATAAAATTTTACGTGATTTCGCTGTTTTAAAATTCGTCTATGAAAATAATTATTCGCGTGAATATCTGCGTTCTAATGATCCTGTTTGAATAACGTCGTATCTAGCATTGCCAATGGCGTGTTAAAATGCAGCATCACTTGTCCCGCGAGTGAAAAGCACTCTATATTCTCTAGTTAAGAATAAACAAGCATTGTAGGCATTCAAGTGTCGTTGCAACTACAAAAGGACACTTCAGGAGCAACAAACAATGCGTAATTAAGGAACGAGCGGTCACCTGAAACTTCTTGCACTGTTTCAATGTATATCGTACATGAATTGGCCCCAAAAAGACTTTTTCCCCATTTTAACCCAGTAAGAAATAACAAATAAAATATATTTCATAAAAAGATATATATTATCTAAGGTAAATTTAATAAATTAATAAACAAATTTTCAGTTTTGACTAAATGAAGAAAGAAAACATTTTCTGTTTCTCAGTCAATTCTGATTGAACAATACTTTTAATTAGTTCAGTAGTATAAATAAATAAACAAGGCAATGATATTATATCCAAGATCTGTAAAACTGTATTAGAGTATTTTATATATGTGTATAATATTAATATAAGTAATTAATATAATTAATTAATATAATTGCGTGGTTAATTAATAGAATTATGTATTATATTAATATGATTAATTAATATAATATGTATATAAAATACTAATATATCAGAATTTAAATATTATTGTCAAACATTATAATACATCAGAAATAAGAACAAGAGTAAAACGTTGCATAAAATAGCAACGGTGTCCATCGATGTGTATGTTTGCCTAAGTATACATCAAAAAAAGAGAACCGACTATATTGAAATCCGATAAACATTCTATTTAAACGAAATATATTTTAAGCAAAATCAGATCGATATAGACGCTACGCTTTAGAGTGGATGTTTACGGTGAAAATGACTTCAATTCAAATGACTGCTGTTTCTTGCAGAATTGGAATTTTCTGAATCCGTTCTACCGGAAAATTGCTGCACCTCGTGTTTCGTGTTGTAAACAAAATGACGGACAGTGTAACAAAAGCTATACAAGGTGTTCTGGATTCCTTCTCGTGAATCTGCCACCAGCGTATTGTGTAGATTAAAATAAAGAAAGCATTATATAAACGTTGACTCATAAATGCTTCATTGGAATTGTTATAACTGTGACATAACTATCTTTATTAACAGTGTAACTGAGTAAGACATTATTCCCTGCGAAAATACCTTTGACATACAAGAAATAACTCTATATGTCAATATCTTTAATGAAACGTTCATGAGCCCATATTGTATGATATATTTTCCTTATGTTTGTTCATAAAATATTACTTGGTAGAATCCCTGTTAAAAATTGTCCGACAGGTATTATAAAATCTGTAATTGATTTTTTAGCCGATACAAGGATCTCGACTACAGTAATGCTCGCTTAAATTCCACAAATTTGGGTCCCTGCAGTGGAATTTACACAAGCAGAAATACAACCTTACCTTCTCAAATGTACTGCCAATAAATTTCTGAGATTATCGCGATTAAAATGAGTCCAAACACGATGGGAATGGGACTAGTTTCACCGACTCAATGTAATTAACGAAATTAAAGGTACATTTCCATGAAATCGATCAAACTAGTCCGATTACCATCGTGTTTGGACTCATTTTAATCAGAAGAATCTCAACATTCCATTAGTACTATGATTGAGAAGATCAGATTAAAATGATTGCAATCAAAATATTCTTCACTGCATGTTTATACATCTCTTCGATCTGTCTGTCTCCTTTCCTCTCACTGCATTCATTTCCCATCCCTGTCTACTGGGATCACGAATACATTGAGCTTGAGACAGCGAGTAGTGCGAGAAAAGTAGGGCTTGCATTGTGAAATTTAACCGAGCAGATTTCTGTGGAATTTAAGCGAGCCCCACTGCAGTTACTTTCGCCAAGATTCGACCTAAAGGCGGATTCCCTTAATCGTTAACGTGTAATAAGGATAAAGAATGAAATATATACTTGAAAATTTCTCACCAAACATTTGATTGAATATTTTATCGAAGGTTACTTCCTTCTTCTTTTCCAGATATTTGTGCATTACGCTTCTGACACTGCAACAGAAAGAAGAGCGCGAATGTAACAATTAAATTCCGACGGTTAGCTCGTGTAACATTTAAGCTATAAAATCTTTAATATTCAACCTTACTCAACACACAAGGAATACCAAGTTTCCTACGATCACGCATCTATAAACATAATTCTGCGACGTCCCGCGGTATGTTCATTTTTAGAAAAAAAAAACGGAAAATTGCGAAACAAAGTCGAAACTTATGATTTATTTATATATCCCGAACAATATCCGAACTCTTCATGTATTGATTATCCACCAACAAAATCCCTAACATATTTTTAGACGTCACAGGGTGGTGAACCCTCTTTAGCTCGCTCAAACCCTTCCCAGTTTTCAACGCAACGATCTATTCCTATTAACCCTTTGCACTCCGTTGGCTCTGCTATAAAGACGTAATTTGCATTATACATATCGTATGATTCATTTCAAATTGTAAAATTCTTCTTCTTTCTACTCGAATGAAGCAAATTGAGAGGAGAAATTAAGAGACGCGGATCCATGAATATTTGTAATCTTTCTTTTTCGAAACGAAATTTTAAGTTCTTGAATATTTTGCTATAAAAATGAACTATTGACATATTGAAAACGTTCGGAGTGCAAGGGGTTAAACAAATAGGAGGAAAACATGTACCAATTTCAATTTCTTCGCGTTCGTCTCAATTTTCCGATCGTTCGACACTAGATTCACGGAACAGATCAGCTTGACTCACACTGAATTCCAGTAGCACCATTTTGATAAAGGGTATAGCAGGATGAGGTGAAAATTGCCTCAGACCGATCTTTCTCGAGAAATTTTCGTAAAAGTTAGTTTTTCATATTTCTAACTATGACGCAGCAGGTCAAAAAATCGGAAAAATTGAGAATGTCTGTCATACTAATATGTAGACTACTGTAAAAATGGAACAGTCATCGCTCGAAAGCTTCACTGTGAAATTTACATTCTCCTATTTTTCACGAAGTTTTTCATTTTTTACGCTACGTATGTGGATCGGAAAAATCTCAAAAAATTCTTAGCCATGCACTGCTGTACTAGAAATGTCTCCGAATTTTTTCACAATTTTTGCGTGCCATCACATAGGAAAAATAGGGCAAAAACTGATGGTTCCAATTTACCCTGTAACTGGTACCCTTCTGATTGAGATAGACAGCTGAAAATTGGTGTACAATGTTTTCTAAAGGTAAGCTATCGAAGGACATTTTTTCGAGAAAAATCGCTCATTGCATTTTACTTTGTCGTTGAAACTGGACTTGGGCAACGTCGATTTGTATCACAAAATAATCATCGCTTCGTCCCGGAATCAGAAGCTTATTTTTAAAGAAAATTTTCGAACAGTCGAAAGTAGGTTTATGATACGGATGTCCGGATTTCGCTATTTTTAAAATTATCCTAGGCAGGTATACCAGCTACTGGTAAATTAGTTGTGAAACGAGGGCTTCCGAGAACAATGGTAAAGCATATCCATTTGTCTGGAACAAGGGACTCGCCATCATTGATAAAAATAAACTTCCGGAAACTGTCTCCAACCGTTAAACAAAATTAAACATCTGTTCGCGTGTTGCAAAGTTTCTTCAAAGTTGCTAATATTAAAAAATATTCATATTTCCCTGTAATTTAATGTCTATTCATAGATCTTATATAATTACTTAATTGATTAATTGGTGAGTTTAATGGAATTGCAGCTTTCTTTAACATTCTTGCATAAAATAAAGAAACATAGTAAATAGCATTGTTTATTGACATTATATTTTATTAAATATTTATTATATAATACTCGAGGAATATTCGTATTTCCCCATAATTTAATGTCCATTCATAGATCTTATACAATTACATAATTGATTAATTGGGGAATTTAACAGAATTGCAGCCTTCTTCGATATTCTTGTATAAAATAAACATAGTAAACAGCATTGTTCATTAACATTATATATCATCAAATATTTATCACATATAATACTCAAGGAATATATATTTAACATTGAATTTAACTAAATAACAATTTAACGCGTTGAACACCGCGCGATTTCATACAGCAAAATACACAAAATGGAAGTAATATGATACTAAATCATTTGTTTGAATTGTACTATTATTATTGCGCGTAAGTTTAGCTGAATGTCATCAAATGATCATCGTTTAATTGAGTGGAGTATAGTAATTCATTCAACGTGTTAATATTCAATCTTTGGTTTTCAGTAAGTATTTCTTTCGTAGCTTCGCGTGTTTGAGACATCCTGTGTATACGTCGAACGCGAAAGGGAAACCTAATCCTACTATAGAAGCAGACAGTTAAGATAGGAAGGGAATACCACCAATATTTCTCTTGTTAGTAATTGCCTAGCTCGTGTAGTCGCCGAAATGTTTGATCAAACCTCCCTCTATGTTCGATGAGAATGATACGCAAAGAATCGGGAAATCGATTCGCAATTTGTAGATTGCCTTATTTATGCGCTCTCCCGTGCATTACATCGTTTGTGTGTACCAGCATAAAATATAAATGCTTACACGGAATGGCAGAAGCAACGAGTTCTCCATTTTAAGTAGGTTTTGCACTCGAAATTTACACTATTGCAAATCAAACTCATGCTTTTGCAAATGAAATTCACCATTTTGCAAATCAAGTACTCCTACGTATATATTTTATTTTAAAACACATCAAGTGTTAATTGGTTAGCAAAAAATCAGAAATTTTATTGTAAATAGATGTATATTGTTCTTTAAGTTTAAGTTTCGTTTAAGTTCAGTTCGAGTTATGTCCAAGTTCAGTTTAGTTCGAATTAAAGTTTAAGTTTTGCTAATAAACAAAATGTCATCGTCAGCAATTACTTACAGTGAATATATTAGGTTCAATTGAAATAAAATGATTGCTCTATAACAGATGTTGACGAAGCAGCAAGATTATAGAGCGATTAACAAGATTCAATTACTAATTACATGGAACGAGGACAGTCTTTCCCATTCATTTAGTTTAAAATATTACGGTAGGCATAAGTGGGTCGATAAGGGGAACGTTAGACTGTTCGTGAGTTTTATTATAAATTTATTCGAAATATTCGCTTTTCACTTGAAATCTAATTACGTTAAGAGAATAGATTTACAAGTAGACATATTTTCGTAAATAATATTGACTACGATATAATAACATTCTCATACAGGCGATGATAGTATTATTTATCTTATATTTTATTATTGTATAATATTACATAGTGTTATTTGTCAAATGTAATATAGTATTATCATATAGCATTGCATAGTATTATTTATCCTAATTAACCGCGACGAGGATTACCGAAAGCTTAAGAATAAAACTATTCCAGTGTCGAACGAAAATAAAACAGTTCGATGGAATCTAAATTTAATACGTAATCACGCGGTGGTAACGCGTGCAATGAAAATTTAAAAATAGTTTGCGCAGTCACTAATGATAGGCGTTTATAAAATTATTCGTCAATAAAGTCGTCAACAGGTTTATCGATTCAGACAGTGCACTTCCATGCGACAACAAAGAAATGACAGAACGTTTTATCGGCATTTCTTCACTTCCGAGGAAGGAACTCTACACTGAATCAAACATTTGCAAACTGAATCACGGCGAACGGGCACGGAACAAAAACAAACGATGCACTGATGCATCAAAATGCATTTGGCACTGGGAAACATTCAAGGATATAGTTGGCGATCCAAAGAAACTGTGAGCAATTACTGACCAAATTATGAAAACTAGGAACCAATGGCTCGCAGGATTATTCGAAAAATAATTATTCAAACGATATATTATCTTATTCTATTCGATGTTACCTCTTAAAATAACGACGGGTTAGTTCAACTGAAGAATCAAATGATCTTTCTCCGAATTATATCCTTCCTTAGTTAAAACACGAAATAAATGTTCACTCGAGTTTGCATTTGATCAAATGCTTCCACAAATAAGTTCTTAAACATTCATTCTCATCAATTCCAATCGGACAAACGTACCGTCCGTTGCAGGGAACTTGGCACTTGCGTCTGAGTGGTCAAATTCTAAGACGCACGCCTTACTCACGTAAATTTTTGGTTCTGATATTTAATTGGCTAAGGCGCTCACGCCCATCAATCGGGTCGCGCAACAGAGAATGCGAAAAGTCGTTTCAGGACTCACAATTGGATTTCTTGGAGCGAATGGATCCGCCCCTATGACGTCACGAGTGCCAGGTTCCCTGTAACGGACGGTACTGTCCACAGACGATCTGTCAAACGATCTCAACAATCCACTGACACTACGTTCGAGAAAGTCAGATCGAAATTAATGAAATTGATATTTCCTTTATTGATGAGACACTCAGAAGCCAATGCGGTTAAGTCGATTTTTCGATATTTTCTAATTTTCGTAAATTTTAATGCAGTAAATAATATTCTTTTAGCTATCAAAGAATTTACTCGTTCTTTCGCTTTTTCTAGGTCAGAAAGCCCATTATATATCTCCTGAAAATATTTAAACTAGAAACAACTTAAAAAACATTAATTTTCTCAATGTTTGTTTTCTGGACTTAACAACATTAGCTTCTGAATGACACAACTGTCACTTCACCAATCACCCTGTACCTCGAATAAACAAACTCCAACAAGGAATCATTTACAAACGATCAATTCGATTTTCAGGAGAAAATTAAACGACTTCACCCGTGAAACTTCTAAAATAAATATTCCAAAGTGGTAAAAACAATTCGTTATTCCCAATGATCATTCCTCGTCGTCGTTGAAAGGGAAACCGATCTATGGCAAGGAATGATGAATTTCGTAATTCGATATAATCGCGATATCGAATCGAATAATGCCAGTTTCAGCAATTACTAGAGGAACCGCCGCCATTTTCTCGTTCATATATGATGTTCTCGCAATTAGTACGTTACTATTAGCAAAAAGAATTCCGTAACTCGATATAATCGCGATATCGAATCGAATAATGCCAGTTTCAGCAATTACTAGGGGAACCGTCGCCA